CCCCCAGCATCAAAAAGGGGAAACAAGGTCACTCTGATCACTCCTACTGTTTTTGAAGGTGACTTTTTCAATTTATTTAATTCCAAGGTGAAATGTCAGGGAAAATATACGCCTTCGATGTACTTTATAATATTGGGAATTATGCAAGATTACATCCCAAAAATGCTTTAAATTGAATTTCAGGGGCTCTATATTTTTCAAAACATTTTCCGGGGGAATGCCCCTGGACACCCCTAGTCAGTCTCACACCTTTGGCGTTTGCCAAAAACTAATGCACCTATCAATGTTAAGCCCTTGAGGGGGGAGGGGTCGTGCATGGGTGGGGTATTTAATTTTTTGAGCAAATTTTCAATCAAATGCCCCACCGTTAGGCAATAAATATTGGTCAAACTCAAATGCCCCACCATTTTGCAATAAATTGCAATAAATACTATGTTAATAAAAGTCATTCGCTTCAAATTGCCCCAACTCGGGGCCAAAATGCTGATCAAAATCCCCATCGTGGGAATGCAATTGATGATCAAATACGCCACATATGCCCGACCCCCCCCCCCCTGGGGGTTAACATTGATTGGTGCAAAACGATAAATATGAAAGGACTTTATTAAAATACATTACAAATTTAGTTATAAGCATAAATTTACCTTCCCAAAGTTCTCAATTACATGCTCTTTGCTTTCCATACGCAAATTAACCGTGTCTCTTGACTGTTGTACTCCATCGTCATCATCATCAGAATCCACTATGTAAATGAGCGTTTTTTCTCCGTTTTTACCACCTTTGCATAATTTCTACGTAATTATAAATATAAAACGATAAATTATCTGAGATATATAAGTATAGTAAACCTATAAATAAAAAGTACGGTGGCGTATATAAAACATCATTGAAAACACTGAAATTTTAAAGACATATTGTTTAATACTATACCTTTCTGTGGCATTTGCTTCAACATCAATGACCTTTCAATGAATAAAATATGATTCGCTGTTATCAAAAGAATATTTTAATACAATTACAAAAGAAAAACCATTAAATAATTGTATTAACATATGCCAATTTCATACCTGTTTCGAAGCCGAAGGACAACTCGAATGATTTTCCGCCATTTTGCAAAGAAGCACATGGGCCGGTGAATAATTTGGCATATTTAGGGTAATTAACATATATTATTTTGTGTTACCGCTGACAAAAATGCTAACTCGATTTTTGAACTCGAACTCATAAATCGATTTTGTCAACTCGAACTCATGAAATAGAAAGACCCTGTTTATATTATTAAAGTAAAATATAGCTCAAGTTAATAAATTAAAGTTTTAAAATATATCTTTTCACACTCGCGCGTTCCCCAACCTCGACGGCTTATATTTTTCGTTCTGCCATTTTTTCCTATTTTGCCCC